ACGTGAAATGCGATTTTTTCAACTTTGGAAGCTTTTGGAGAATAAGCAAAGGATAACAAGATCGCATTTGCATTTTTCTACGATCGTATGATTTGAAAAAAACAAGTTAAAGATAATTCTGTCACTTTTTATTCGAAAATAAATTTTGATCCAGAATTTTAAAATTTCTTCCATAAGGTTCAAATTTGACGTTTTCATACACATCATGCACCGCAGATCCGAAAAATGCAAAAAAATTCTTGCGATGCCATTCGAAATTACGAAGTTAAGGTCATTTCCGGTTAAACCGGAAGTTACCAAACATCGAAATTTATGTCAAAAGATGACATTTCTCAAACCTACACTCCATACCAAAAATCTTTGCCATCGAAAAAAAACTCACCAAATGCCAGCGCGAAACTGATCTCGTAGACACCCGGTATAAACTTTTTAATAATAAAACAACAATTCCGTTTCAATATAGGACAGATTTCGATAATCAAAATTTCGAGATTCCAAACCACTCAATTCAAGTATGTTATTTAGGCACAAATATAGCTGATGACGTTGATCTCACACCTCCAATAAAAAATGAAACATATTATATTCCCTCGACAATAACAACAGTCATGAATGAGATGGTACCTTTAAAAGTACACAACTTAATGAATAAGCCTATATTATTCTCTCGTATAATATTGATAACTTGGCGAATATAAGTTTACCTTATGCTGATGAACAGTTTGAGATATTTAATATAGAACAAATGACTTCATTACAAAATGATGAATATGCAAATGACCCTATAAAGTCACTGCGTATCAGTCATTTAAACTCGGAGGAATTTGATGCTCAAACACGTAGGTAATTAAAGCTTTTCCTAAAATTTTCCTGAAGCCAAATGAAAAATTAATATTCACCAATCAAGTCAAACATTAAATTAAAGCAACAGATGAAATACCAGTGCATATGAAAACTTATAGATATCCACATGTGCATAAACAAAAAGTAAATTCTCAAATAAATAAAATGTTAGAAGATAACATAATCAGACAATCTTGTAGTCCCTGCAAGTCATCCCCTGTGTGGATACTACCTAAGAAAGATGCCGCAGGCACACAAAACTGGAGAATGGTCGTTGATTATCGAAAGATAAATGGAAAAACTATTGATGATAGATATCCACTACCTAATATCACTGATATATAGGACCGACTTGGTGGTAGTTATTATTTTACGACATTGGATTTAGCCTCTAGCTTTCATCAAGTCGAGATGCATGAAAATTGAATACCCAATACAGAATTTAATGTTGAAAATGGTCAATACGTATTTAACAAAATACCCTATGGATTAAAGAATTCACCAGCAACCTTCAAAAGAGTGATAGATAATGTATTACTAGGATTACAGAATAGAATATGTCTAGTATACATGGATGATATAATAATTTTTTCCACTTCACTTCATAACATGTGGAAAATTTGAAGAAAGAAGAAAGTATTTGAGAGACTCGAAACGTTAAATTTAAAAATACAATTAGACAAATCAGAATTCCTACACGAAACAGTGAAATTTTTAGGACATGTAATCACGCGAAATGGAATAAAACCGAATTAAAAAAAAAATTCAATACCAAGAACGGTGAAACAAATAAAATCATTTTTATAGGATCAGTAGGTTACTACCGAAAATGAATAAAGAATTTTGCCAAATTGACAAAACCAATGATATCTTGTTTGAAAAAAGATAGAAAATTAATTCACAATGCAGAATTTCTTAATAGTTTTGAAACTTGTAAAAGGTGATAATAACTGACCCCATACTAAAACATCCTGACTTTAAGAAACCTTTCTTATTGACAACCGATGCCTTGAATTATGCAATTGGAGCTAAGGTCCTGTCGGAGCTGCTCTTCCAATTGCATACGCATCTAGAACTTTAAATCCAGCTGAATGTGATTATTCGCCGATTGAAAAAGATCTTTCAGCAATCGTATGGGCAACAAAATATATTTGACCTTATCTTTTTGATAAGAAATTCACAATTTTGTCGGATCACAAACATTTACAATGTCTATTTGATGTTAAAAAACCCAAGTTCCAAGATGGCAACTAGAATTATCCGAATCTGATTATAGGATCAAATACAAAAAAGGAACATTAAACATGAATGCAGACGCACTATGAAGAATTCCTGCAATACAACTTCATGCCATTCCCAAATCAAACCCAGATGCCAGATTAACATCTTCAGATATAGAATTTTACAGTAAATTAGGAGAAATGCTGAAAGATACACCATTATGTAATGATGAAAAATCTTTCTAGACAAAAAGAGATAATATCAGAATCATCTCAATCAACAAAAACAGCATTAGAAAGAGAACCTGAAGAGGAACCTTAGAAAGGAAGTCCCAAAATAAAAATATTATCCCAACTTATAATCGATACCTATTTCCAAGAAAGGAAAAGAAAAAGAAATTCCCATAGACATAGGAGAATCTCCAAAAACTCAAAAAAGTAAAAGACAAATAACCACCTTCGGACAATGAACGAACAGTTTCAGCCTTGTCTGAAAATAAGCAAACAATACATACGTCTATGAAAAATCCAATATTAGGAGCTCCATATACTAAAAAACGTGTAAATGTATTTGGGAATCCAATCATATTCCGATGATAACACAATAAGAAAAGAGATAATCAAACTTTTTGGTAATGAAAAGAGAATAATATTCTTCTTACTAAATAATCCAACATCATCACAAATAACTAATTTAGTAAAGGAATATATGCCACCTGGTATTTATTGCCTGATTGCATTCATTTCCTAAATAAATCTTTAGAAGTAACCTATTGTGTTACGAGCATTAATTCGAATTCATCTACCCTCTTGTACGTTTTAAACTCTTTACTAGAAGACATCACAGAAGTTGATCTTCAACAAGAGGAAATTCAGCAATTTCATGAGTCAAAAACTTCTCATAGAGGTGTAACTGAAAATGTCGCAGCCTTAAAGAAAAGATTCTATTGACCCAATATCGAGAAAGACGTACAGAACTATGTCAAAGCATGCGAATATGTATTAAAACCAAGTATGAACGACAACCATACAAAGTCATATTTAAACCAACACCAATTATTGTTACATATTTATATTGACACATATATGATCAATAACCAGAAATTTCTGACCATTATTGATAGCTTTTGAAAATTTGGTCAAGTCTTTCCTGTAAATACGAAAACAGCTGTAGAGATAACAATACAGTTATTGAAATATTTTAGTGATCATGGAATGCCGCAACACAATCACGTCAGATAATGGAGCAGAGTTCAGAATGCTATAATGACATCAGGTCTTTGTACATTATACAAAATTGATTATACAATCCAAAAAATCCAAATTCGAATAGTCCAATCGAAAGATTCCATTCAACACTACGTGAAAGTATAACAAGTTTAAAACTCCAAAATCCGAATAAGAGCATTATTGATCTAATGACAATCGCTACATTGAATTATAACAACAGTAGGTACTCATAGTAGGTACAATGAATCATACCGCTTTCCAAGTGATTAAAGGAGATTTGAATTATGCCATACCAATTGAACAGCCAGAAAATAAACTAACTACTGATTAACTACTGATTACTTACTAAAATTGTTACCGAAACAAAGAAAGTATCTAGAATCACCCAATGAAAATCGTGAAGCCGAATCAGAATTACAAGATACAGTCTTCGTAAAACAATTTAATAGAGACTCTGGCTAAGTAGGTATACGATTTTTGAGTAGTATGCGTATTGTACAAAATTTGGCAGGGATTTTATACGCTTATAGAACAGGAAGTTATAATAATTAAACTAAATTATGAATTATTGTTTCGAGGTGTAAAAGGTGTTTAGGATTTGAAAATATTATATCAAACGTAGTAGGGCTATATGAAAGGGTTAATGAAGCACAAGGCTTTTTGATTGCATCATTTAATTAACAAACTCAGAGACAGTATAGAGGTGGCTGTACGATTGCATCAATTAAGGACTGTTTATTTTTGTATTGAAATGTGTAGGATTAGGGTTTAGAAAATTTGTACCATTGTAATTGGAAATGAAAATCTGTGTCCAAGGAAATAATTACCATCAAATACGACCGCTCGCAATTTACCATCTAACCTAAATAATAGAGTACTTGGCGCGAATGCTACAGTGTGTCATCTGATTGCCTTTAATGAAGTTATACACAAAGACATTTGCGCTTGCGCTTTTAACAAGGCTGGATAGGATTAGCACTAATCTTGATCCATTTAATAGTTGTGAAATAAAGGAATATGGATTAATCATCCTTAATCCACTTTGTATCCGTATACAACGTGTGAAATAAACGTAGTCAATAACTCTTAAACATCCAGTTTTCAATTACAGATAAAATTTCCCGTATTTTTATTATAAACTACTTGCATTATGTGTCAATAAAATAAATACATAAATGGAAATCATGAAGATGTTTGAAGAATATTGTGCAAATACTAATAAATGTTCTGGTATTTATCTATACATCAAATTCCAGTTACTAAACTTACTTATTCTGTAATATTAATTTTCGGTAAATTTTCTTTTAAGAAGGCTTCTTGAAAATGATAATAGTCTTATATAGGTATATTATATTGTTACGAAATTGCCTCGGAAGTTCGACCGGATTCTGAGAATGCAATTGTCTAGGCGTCGCGCAAATAATTCGGATAATTCTATTCAAGTAGGGCACCGGGTTTATCTAGATAAATCCCGAGTACACTGTCTGTCATAAATAGCGCATCAGCATTTAGTGTAAATCTAGTTTTAATTCGAATTTTATGAAGTAAATTAGTTTAATAAAGTTGTTACCCACTGTTTGTGAAGTGAGTTTGTGAATCCGGAATCCTTGCTTGACAATAATAAAACTAATTGACAGTTTATCCGTCTTGTCATTTATGCAATAAAGTTCTATTCTAAATGAAGTTTTATTAAAACATTAATCTTACTCTAAGGTCCTTTTGTAGAATATTCAATCTTCTAATAGCCTCTTCCTCGCCAGGAGTTGGATTATCAGGCGTTTTAGGTGTTGGCGTATAAACTCGGTTCATCCAAATACATCTTTTGGCCATTTCCTGGCTCATAAATACCGTATTATGGACTTCCTGGAATAATAAATCATTAAATTCAGTTAAACTTACATTCAAAAACATCTTACTTGTTCGACAACAGTCGTTAAATAAGTATCCCGCAATTCCATAGAGAAAACATTTATAAGCACCGCCAACATTTTATCAATTTCATGAGCCCATTCCTGGAAAGCCTTTTCTCGATCTTCCAAAGAACTTTCATTGAAACCTGGAATATGACAGGATATGGGCCTTAGTCTGTAGCAAGGTGGTTGAGCATCACTATCCAGCATATACCTAAAAAATATTTACAAAAATTACCACAAATATAATAATAAATAGAGAAATACTTGCCATTTTTTCAATAATCCTTGAGCAGTTTGGTTATCAGTACTTTCAAGTGCCATTTTGAAATCGGCACTCTCGATTGTGATTGGTAACAGTTGAGTACCCAAAGAGTTATTCAAGAATAAGACTGGAATGACGTAAGCTACTTCAATTTGTCCTTAAAAGAAAAAAATTTAATTGAAATATAATACAAATATAAAAAATAGCCTCACTTGTCAATTCTCCAATACACAATTCCGGAAACTCATGGTCCTGCTGCTTTTCTAATAAAGTTTTCCAATGTAGATCTACTATGTGTAATTCGTAGCCTTTCGATCTACAGTACTGCCGTAGATTTGGGTAGACTACGTTGTGTAAAGAACCTTTTTCTACTGTACAATCTATAATAGAGTAAAGGACTGTTTCAGAAATTAAACTTTGGAATTTTTCTAAGCGGTAAAATCGTGAAACTAGATATTCCGTTGAATTAGTTAGTGGCTGAGTGAAAATTATGAGCAAACAACGATAATAATTATAGGCGGAATGAGGAGGTTTATAAGAATATAAAAAATTTCCCTTTTTTACAATTTTCCCGACGAGGTTTCTTCAACCATATGAAAAGCGAATCCTAGTAAAATTCAGCAAAAAAATGTGAAACTAAATACTTATCTAATAAGATTTATACATAAAAAACATTTTCTGGCTTTTTTCACGGTTCTCGGATTATTGTTGGATCAAATATTTTAGGATCTTTAATATATCGCTTTCCGTCATAATAAATTTTAATATGTAACTTTAAAATTAAATCTTCTTGATTCACACCTTGCCATTGAAAGAGATATAAATAAATTTATTTGGCAAGCATCTCCGAGAATTGTACAAAATTTCGAGTCTCTTGATTATGATGAGATAAATTTGTTTATTTATATTTATGTTTTTTTTTATTATTTCGAAAATTTTAAAATAATTTACTCTAGTGGAAAACGGAAAGATGTTTTTCTAGAACACAGACAACATTCAGTTGAAATTTCTTATTTAACAATGGAATTCAAATATTAAAACTTTACCTGTTAATAAAAAAAGTGACTTCAAAAGAATGTTAATCTCTAAAAAGTTAAGGATTGTGGAGAAAAGACGTTGTAGATATAGTTTTTAAGATATTAAGCTTTCAAGTTTGGGACAAAATGTTAACTTTGCGATATCTATTTCAATACAATTTTGTAAAGAATTTAATTTCCTTTTAAACAACTTATAGCTTAAGTAGATTTATTAAAAGTTAACGAAACTACGACGATATTTTTGAGACCATAACGAGATAACAAAAATTCGAAGAGTTTGGTTGACAACATCAATCTCTTTCTATTCCATATTTAATTTTCTATTCATTAAAGGGGACTTCTCAGATATTACGATTTAAAAAAAGTTGGAAATGGAAATTAGAGATTTTTGATCCATGGGAAGAAGAAACGTTAAGAAAATGCATGTTCTTCCCCTTTTCCTTCTTTAACATGTTACCATTCCTCTTATTGCGATAACAATAGTATACATACAGACTTCAATTAGGTAGTAGGAACCAATAGGTATAGGTGACAACTTATGTGAATTAATTTAAGATATTCGATAAACTCCCAATTAATTCCGACAAATTGGTGATGCCGACAAGAAAATGCCCAGAGTTAGAGGACGCAGGGATACAGTCGAAGATCAAGAAGTGCCGAGACCATTTGCCAGTCCTATTAGAATTCCGGTGACATGTAAAACTACCTCAGTTTTGGAGCCATGATTGGGTGTTATGGTTTGATCAAGATGAAGCAATTTTCTAAAACTATAGTATTACCTACAAGAAGATAAAATATAATGACATTATCAGTCAGATACAAACTTCCTGTTCTAGATCAAACTTAAAGAAATTTTTGTTCATCATCTTCCGCCAAATATCACAAGATAATTTATTTACTTGCTCTAAAGAATAGTTTAGCTATCCGAAAACTCGCAAAAATGACTGAAAATATTTTTGAATCTTTCGATCAGCAATCATCCATATCTGCAAATGGAATAACTAAATCATCAGGATTCAATGAAAAATTTGACAAACTATCAAACGGAGTAGCTGAGTTGAAGAAACTTGTTGAATCATCCACAAGACAACCTAAAAGATAAGGCATCAACAAGTCCACCAGAGAACTTTATTAGTTGGTATCATAGTAATTATGGGAAGGAGGCATCAGAGAAGTGCGTTCAACCATTAGTCCAAGAAACGGGGATCTGAAAAGAGGGTTTACCTCAACATAATTAGAAGTTAACATTTTTTGAGGGGGATCGGTCCATTTTCATGTGCTTAATAACATATTAAGTTTGCGACCTTGTACTTCCATAGGGTTTTTAGGGGTAATTTGTGGTTTATGGAGAACGCTTCTCAAAGGGATAGTCCAATAGCAAAAAGTTTCAAATGATTGTTGTAGCTGAAGTTTTTGGCTATAAAAAACTCAGGGACAGCACCCCTCTATCTTCTATAGTTTTTTTTCTGCAGCGTCTCGAATAGTAGCATGTTTTTATTCAAGGTCACTGAATCAACGTTTTGCCTATTCCCGTGCATTTGATGCAACAGCGGCCGAATGCATAATCCGATTTCAATTTTTCAAACACCACAGTCAATTCTCAGCAGTCGTACGGGACGGTTGTGTTTTTCCGTTCGTAGGCTCTGCGGGTGTTGAATGTTTGTTTTGTTTGTTTTGATTTGATTTGTTTGATGCTTTGTTTTAAACCAACAACACATCGAAGTGTTATTGTTCGCTGTGCGTGTACTTTCGCTAAATTAATTTTAAACTAGTTCCTGTTTTATAAACTAGTTCCTGTTTTACCGGTAATGTTCCTGTGAAATTATTGTACTTGAACCTTGCGTGTATTGAACTTCAGCCTTGCGTCGTTGCTTTTCTTTGTGCAAAAATGGCCGAGTTTAAGTGTGACTCCTTTCAAAAAATCACCTCTGACAAGGACAAGTATAAACTTCGCTGTAGCGGTGAATGTCGCCGGCATTTCTGTATGAGCTGCACTGGTCTGGATAAAACGACAACAAGGATGCTCTGCCAACAAAAGTATCACAATATTACATTTTTCTGTAGTGTCTGTGATTCTCCAACGTTAAAATATCTTCACGATAAAGTGTCTCAGCTACAGAAAGGCCAAATCCCTCTGGAAATTGTAGAGGCTCTGGGTGCATGTCTTAAGAACAGTGAAAAACTTCATCCGGTCATTTCGGAAATCTACGACACCTTAAGCGCTCATGATTCCAGGTGGAGCGACTTATCCAAGAAAGTGGATGACATACACAACCACCATTCTGAGTACTCTGAGAGTGGACAAAAATCTCTATTCCATTCAATTAGGGAAATGAACTTGTGCAACATTTCGTCGATCTTCATGGACGGTCATGATGAGTCTATAAAGGTTCAGGTACATGACTCTTCAAAAGAAGAGTTAACAAGGGAAATGGCAGATTTGAGGAAATGTGTCAACCAAATGGCGCTCACGTTGGAAAAGTTAGCAGGCAAAGAGAAACCGTCTACTAGGAGCAGCCCGCCACCTGTAAAAAAGTCAATTACAGCGTCGATTTCAACCCAGACCGATAGTGAAGAGACATCCCCTGTTACGCAAGTGGTCATTGATTCCCGAGTCTGTCCCCCACCTCAGAATTCCGCCCTAAAAGAAAACTGGCATTATGTGGTAGTGTCAAAAATCCCCCATCCTTTTACAGCAAAACAGCTTGCTCATTTTGTAAAGGAAAAACTTGGAACCACGGAGTTTATCAGATGCTTTCCAATGCTCCAAAATAAAGACTGCTCTCACACTGATTTCAAAGTTGGTGTTCAAAACAAAAATCACCTAAAGCAGCTTTTGGACAGAAGCATGTGGCCTCCAGGTACGGGTATAGAGACTGCTAATTCATCTGCAACACTTTTAAAGGCATCGCCACCGTCGGCAGCAATTACAGTAGATCCACAGCATCAGTCTCATCACCATTTCAAACCCAACACTGCGGAGGGCTGAAGTAGACCACTAAACTCTGACGCAACCCCGATTAACCCGACTAAGGATGATAAAACTATCAGGATTGGTTCTGACAGGGAGGCTATAGCTGTTTCTAAGTCCCTGGCACTAGACAGCACAAAAATTTTTATGGATACAAGTAGAAAAAAAGATGAATCAATCATGGACCCGATGACTCCACCCATTGTGCGATTATCGCGAGCTTCCGATACAGCTGATGGTCAATATTTATTGGCTAGACTAAGAGACCCTGCCATTCTTAAAGCTCTTAGTCTATTCCTGGCTTATCTCCATGACCAACCATCCACCGTGTGTTTTGATGGGCACACTAACACCAGCATCAAATTAATGTTAGCTTCGGAGGGACTTCCTAGTGACTTGGACTCATTGCGGAAGTTATATTTCCGTTTCCACAACGCGTATGGCATTGGTCTGGCTGAAGTTGACGCTGATCTCTCCGCCTTCAGGTCTTACTTCTCGTCCGAGAAACTTCTCCGGTTACAGAATATTAGGGAAAGTCAGAGCAAATATTTCTCTAGTGGCTCTCCACGTAATAATAAAAAATTTTAGATAAGGTGACGCGGCCAGAGGATCAAGCACCCTCTGTAAGGTTGGACGATGGCAAGCTTAGTGTATTTCTTATTAATATTCAGTCCTTAAGACACAAAACAGATGAATTATTTCTTTTATTAGAAGAGCTTAATTTTCCAGAAATCATCGCCATTACTGAACACTGGTTAAATATGGATGAACCTGTGTTTGTCAAAAATTACACCTCAATAGCTAGATTTAATCGAAGTAATTTATCTCACGGAGGCACTATGATAATGTCCACTAATAATGACTTTACGGCAATAACCAAGTTTGATAATTTATTATCGGAAAAAATATTTGAATTTTCCATCGTCTATCATAGTGGCTTTGACCTTTATATTGTTTGTTTATATCGATCACCGGACACAGACGCGCACATGTTTTGTTGGAATTTGCTGAGCTTGCTTTACTCCTTGCCCTTGAATTGCAAAATAATTTTATGTGGTGACTATAATATAAATTTTTCCTGTGTGTGCGCTGCTCAAGAATCTCTCCAGTCCATTTTCGACTCCTTTGGGATTGTGATGCATGTAAACTCTCCAACCAGAATAACCAAAACTAGTTCTACTACCATTGACTATGTCGCTTCATCTTTTGATCCAGAATTGATCAACTGTTCTATTTTTAGTGCAATGTTTTCTGACCACGAAGCAGTATTAACGAATTTCTCATTGAATTCCTTACGTAAGGGTGCTTCCCGCAAATTGGGCAGAATATTTTCGGATGGAAATTTTTTAAATTTCAGTCAACTTTGCTTATC